AGTAGATAAAATTAATAACAAGTTGATGGTCTTCACAAAAAGACTGATGAGCAATTGACCACAACCTCAGCTCAGCAAGTACTTTTCTGCAAGAGTTGCTTTCAAACAAGGCCCAAAAGTCTTAAATGCTGTTCTCCACTTGCATATATTCCAACTTGTTCCGAACGTATACTTTTCAGCCTTTTGATTTTATATACAATCTAGTGATAACACTTAAAATCTCAAATTCCATATTTTTTCGGCAGATTGCATCAATTTAGTAAAATCTACTGTATATTTTGCGATATCTGCATTTTCTATTCTCAAACCTTATAATTGAAGAAGACCAAGTTCTAGATGAGCTGGTATAATTTCTCAATCCCTATAAATTTTCCTTCACTATATGCAGGATGTTTTGTTAAATTATATCTGGGAGTTATGTGAAGATGAGGACTATCTTATATGCTGGTTTTTTAAATTTTAACTTACTGATGAAAAATTTTGTGTAAGGATTGGAGTACACTTATGCCCGTTAATAAAAAAGCTGCTTTGCTCTTAAAAAAATATATGCTTTGATAAGTTTATCACTAAGTTATTAAACTTTGGCATATGGTATATTATTTTCTTTGAATTATAATAGTTCAAAAAAAATTATGAAACACATATATCTAAAAATATTATATAATTACAAAAAAAACCCTTCAATAGCAATCCTTAAGGTACCCGAATAATAGTATTTTGGTTCTTAGAAGCAAAAGGTAATTTATTATTTTTTTTTTAAAGAAAAAAAATTAAAACTTTATTTTGATTCTTCTATTTTAATAAAAAATAATTTTTTCAGCCATTTTACTTTAAAAAGTCCCCTTTTAGTATTTTAAATTTTATTATTTAATCCTTTTTTTAGTTCATTTGTTATTTTTATGCATATATTACACATTAAATTATAAAAATACTAAAGTTAAGAAATTAAAAAGAAACTTTTTAAAAAGTGAAAAAACTAAAATAAGCTTTTATTAGTGTTTTTTAAATTTTTATACTTTAAAATTTTTATTGTTTAACATGT